TTCCGCAATCATTGTAGGCATGCAAAATAGAAACCAAGGCAACATCAATCATCAGATTTCACTTGTTAAATACAAAATGAGAGAACGCAAATAAATTATGTAGGTAACAACACACACACACACACGGATCTAGGACATTTGCATTAAAATATTTTGAAATTGATAAAAAAGAACGGAAAGAATAAGCGGTACAGTTGACCGAACAGTCGTTTAGGGTATTTTTTTGATTTTTTCTGTTTTTTTTGTAACGACTAAAATGGGGTGGGGGACGAAACAATAGACAAGAAATTTTCTAGATGGAGATAGGAGGGTTAGCTGGGTATCTAAATGATGAAACAAAAACGATAGAAGTTACCCCCAAACGACAAGATAGTAGATTAATTTCAGAAATACACCTAGTTATGAATTATCAAAACACACTTAGTTTTCAAGTATTGGTTTTGTAGGGATTTTCTTTGATTGCATGAACGATGTAATCATGAGCTGACATCAGTTAGAGAACCACTGGAAAACCTGAGAGTACTGGACACCTGTTTCTCTAGTCCTAGTTTGGGACTCCTCAGCAGCACGCACCCCCGGGGTTCGAACCCAGGACCTTCTGGTTACAAGGCGAGCTCGTAGACCATTGAGCCATTGGGACCCGATCCAATAGTTCTTGAAGTCTAACTTTGCGGTGTGAATATTCGGCAGAAGTTAGAATTCAAGAAACATTGGATCGGGTCCCAGTGGCTAAATGCTCTACGAGCTCGCCTTGTAACCAGAAGGTCCTGGGTTCGAACCCCGGTGGGTGCGTCTTGCTGAAGAGTCCCAAACTAGGAAGAAACAGCTATTCAGTACTCCCAGCTTTTCCAGTGGTTCTCTAACTGATGTCAGCTCATGATGAAATCCTCCATGTAATAAAACACACTTAGCTCCAATAATATTATGCCCCATTAGAAATCGTTCAAACTCTAGACTAACTAACTACTTCATATGCGAGGAAGAAGAAACTAAATGACATTCAACTAGAGAATGATGAAAAATGGTTAGTTTCGATATAACTAGTCTTTATACCATAATACCAAGCGATCAATATGCCTGCCTTAGAAGCAGCCAAAAAAAAACAGAACTAACTACAGATCCTGAACTGAGTCATAGGACAAAGCTTCCCATTGAAGAAATTATTTTAGGAATTCAGTTATGTCTCACATCTACTATCTTTAAATTCCAAGGTGTAGCCATGGAATGGATCACCAATATCCCCCATCGTAGCAGATATCTTTATGGACAGCTGGGAAAGTAATGCTCTTAATACACCCGCCTAATCCTACTCCGAAAATATGGTGGAGATATGTGGATGACACTTTCACACACAGCATTAAAAACAGAACATACCTCTAGCTGCTTGATACACACACATATATATAAACTCACTAGTAGAGGGAACAAAATTCACATTTCAATCGGAAAATGAACAAGGAGAATTAGCTGTTATGTTAGATTGTAGAATGAAACGAATAGCAGAAGGTGGGCTGAACACTAGTGTTTATAAAAAACAAACTCATTCTGCTAATAGATACTTAGACCTCCTTAATTCATCTCATCCGTTAGCTGTTAAGGCAGGCTTAGTTAAGTGTCCCACAAACCAAGCAGTAGCACTAACTAGTACAAGAAAAGACCTAAATGAACAAATAAAACAGATAGAAGAAGCCTTAGTATCAAATAACTCTCTTATTAAATATATCAGGAAGATAAGAAAAGGCTAAAAGCAAAATAAGAAAATAATTGTGAAACAAATAATGATAACAAAAATAAAAGAGAGAATATGAGCCATCTAGTGTTATACCATATAAGGAAGGAGGGGACGTCTGAGATTCTTAATAAAGCAGGAATCAAGGTGGCTTTCAAACCTACAAACTCACTCAAGTAGGACAAGCTCTGCAGGTAGGTTAACGGACCATATCGGGGTTGACCCAATTAGACAAAATATTATAATTTACAAAATACCCTGCAATGACTGTCAACTAGGTGAACTACATAGGTGAAACAGACTAGTAGGTCGGGTATAGACTGTCGGAAGATGTGAATTAAGCTAAGGCGAGAATGGTTGACCCCACCTGGGAAAATAAGTAATTTAGAAAAAAGCTCACCGCTACATTGCACTGCATGCATGCAGTAACACACAACCACACAATAGCATGGTGGGTGGAAGAGGGGTTAAAATTCTATGAAGTAATCTAGGTACGCGGAGAGCGAAAAATGTTAGTTGCTGAATATTGGTTCATTGGCTGGCATTTTACACCATGCAGAGCCTCGAGTAGCACCTGATGACGTGGGGAAACGGCGAGTTGGCCATCCTAGATTGACGTGGCGGAGATAATGTGAGAAGAAGATGACGGCTCATGGGCTATCGCATAGTTAGCTGACGAGGAGTGTACAGAACAGAATACAATAGAGGGGAGCTGTTGAATCCCTATGTTCCACTGGGTAATCAAGCGATTAATTATAGTGATAATGCAAACATAGTTATAGTGAGAAGACGTGACCAGTAGAGTACAGCAAGATGAAGATGAGGCAGTAACTCATTCATCGAAGAAGAAGACATTGCGAAATGTTTGCGCTATGTCGTGAACTGGCACAAGTTAGAATTCATGGGCTGGCCATTGAATCGGGTCCCAGTGGCTCAACAATCTGCGAATTCTCTTGCCTTTTAACCAGAAGGTCTTGGGTTCGAACACCGGTGGGTGGATACTGACGAAGGGTCCCAAACCAGGAGGAACAGCTGTCTGGCAGTAGTCCCAATCAGTTTTCCAGTGGTTCTCTAACTTATGTCAGCTCACGATGAAATCCTCCATGCAATCAAACAGTAAATCCCTGCAAAACCAATAATTGGAAATACTCATATAAGCCTGTATACCATTCAGCCGATCACCAGGACCCAATTCAATGGCCGGCCCATGAATTCTAACTTCTACCAATTCAGGATTTAACGCGACTGGCCCAACCAATATCGTCGGTGGGACATCAATCCTCACACGTGACATCTCGATGAACCTCACAATTGTCACGACTTCTTACTAAAACTGACTCCAAGAAACTCCATCCTGTAGCGAGTCAAGTCACTAGCGGGCATCAGATTAATTTTCTACAGTTTGGTTTGTAAGGGTTAACTTTGTTTTTACGAGTTGGTCATGAATTGATATCAGTTAGAGAATCATTGAAAACCAGCCACAAGGAGTACTGCCAGACAGCTGTTTCATCAGCCTAGTTTGAGAATCATCGGCAGAACGCAGCCATCACAGAGGGTTCGAACCCAGGACACTTCGGTTACAAGGCAGGCTAGCTGGCTCGTATATTATTCAGCCACTCATCGGGACCCGATCCAATGGTCAGTGCATGAATTCTAAATTTTACCAATTCGTAGCTGTACAAGCTTGCCTTGTAACCACAAGATCCTGGGTTCGAACCCGTTGTGGTGGGTGCATACTGCCGATGATTCCCACAACTAGGGTGAAACAGCTGTTCAATACTCTCTGGTTTTCAATGGTTCTCTAACTGATATCAAATGAAACTAACCCTTACAAACCGAAACTGTTGAAAATACTGATATACTCAAATAATTCATGAGAAATGTTAATGACCTAGTTGAACTTTTAGTGTTGTTTTCTTCTCAGCGCATTTTGTACTGAAGTCTAAGGCATCGATTAAATTCTGAAGCAAAACAAACAAAAGGCAGGGTAATTTTATCAACTAGTGGGCTATAAGAATTCTCACCCGACACCTCCTCCCTCCAAAAAGTACTACTTTTCAGGAATGCTTTAATTAAAAGGCAGGTTTCTTGCTAGTCCCCTCCACGTCTGACTACTTTCCAATAAAAAATAAAAAATAAAGGGGAAAACACAAACAAACTAAGTTACTTATTTTATGAGCATATTGGACTGTAATTAGGATCGATCAATACTTATTTTTATGAAGTAACAAAGCGAGAGAGAGAGAGAGTTGGATAGATTGAGAGAAGAAGAGATTGAATTTTCTGGGGCTGAAAAACTAGTGAAAATGTGTGTGTGTGTGTGTGCGCATGAGACATAGAGATGACAAACATATTGAAATATACTGCTAACGTTTTTGACTTGTGAATTGAATAATTTATGAACAACTACTAAAACACGTCTGAATGTTATTCAGAGTAGAAATAATACTCGCAAATGAATAAAATTGAAGATAAACATTTGTAAAAAATTATATTTGTAAAATCTCAACGAGATTGAAATGAGTGATTCCATCGTTTCCTGCTTTCGTCGTAATCTGGTCCGAACTTCTTCAGGAAAATTAATCGAAATTAACATAACTGAGGTTTATATGCAGAAAAGGGGGACATCTCTTGTTTTTAAAAACTTTGTCCAGTCATATGAGTCAATCAACATGTTGTATAATCAACAAAATTATATGAGCTGCGATCAAAATTTGTCCTCGGACTTACAAATATTGGTCTACCTTTGTTAAACACTTTAAATACAGTGTGTATGTGTGTGTGTGTGTAAACATTTGTAAAACATTTCTTAACGTTCTCAAGTATTGGCTTTCTAGGGATGTTGTTTGATTGCATCGAGGATTTCAGTTAGAGAACCAAAATAAAACCGACTGGGATTACTGCCAGACAGCTGTTTCCCCCGTCCTAGTTTGGGACAGTTCAGCAGCACGCATCCACCACAGGGGTTCGGAGCGAGGACCTTCTGGTTACAAGGCGAGCTCTTAGACTATTGAGCCACTGTGACCCGATCCAACGGTCCTTGAATTTTAACTTCTGCCAATTCACGCACGACATAGCGCGACCATTTCGCAATGTCTTCTTCTTCTTGTTCGATGAATGAGATACTGCCTCATCTTCAACCTACTGTACCCTACTCTGTTTGTATCAATCACTGAGTATAAATACACCGTACAATTCATTAAGGTTATGCTTAAAAATCAAATAGTAAGCAAGAAATCTGCAAAGAACAAACAAAATAATCGACACCTACACTGTAACAGGACACACAGTCTTCAGTACGCCTACGCTATCACATTGTGATTTTCCGCCGCCCAATGCTGAGTCATGCGATGATATAGAATTCGGCGATAAATCAGAGCAGGATGATTCTCGTGTCGTTGTTGACGTTGACAGAAGCGAATCAGGACGTAGTGAATTACAAGATGAATTATGTTGTTGTGTTTGAATTAGATCTATGTTGTCATCAATGCCAGTGTTTAGTGTTTGATAATCCAATGGATTGTCGACATTGGATACATTGGATAAATTGCCGTCTGTTGTATTAGGTATTGTATAACAGTTGGAGATTGATGATGTATTCAGATTTGCAATTTGTTGCATGTTGACGGTTTTCTCACCGGATGTCTTCATGTCTGAACAGGCATCAGACACTAGAGAATATTAAAAAAAACAATTGTTTAGAATTGTAAAATGAGACTTTTAAAATAATTCAAACAGTAGTTGGTAGTGGGATGAGAGCTGTCTGCTAGCTAGCCAAAATCGGTAGACAGTAATTTACGTCAATGTTTATGTCCCAAATATTGATCATGTGAAAACAGGAACAAAAACAAAGACTGACTGTCTCAACTACCAATCACAGAACACCTTGTTTGCGTAGGCGGATGCAGTTAGCAGATGCATAGAACATTCACAAAGAGAAACAACCATTGAGGAGACTATGGTGTTTGTCTGCTAACAATAATCTATAATAATGTACATGAAAATCTATCAATATGTGTCGATTTCGAAAATAAATCATCTGTTTGGCTGGCTCTTGTCTTCTGTTGGTACAGTAGCATCAAGCCGTGATCAGCTCGTAAAAAGAAAGCTAACCCTTACAAACCAAACTATAGAAAATTAATCTGATGTTCGTTAGTGACTTGACTCGCTACAGAATAGAGTTTCCTGGAGTCAGTTTTAGTGAGAAGTCGTAACCATTGTCAGATCCAACCAGTAGTCAAGTGTGAGGATCGTGTTCCCACCGATGACATTGGTTAGTGCCAGTCGCGCTAAATGACGAATTCATAGAAGTTGGAATTCATTCACTGGCCACTGAATCGGGTCCTGGTGAGTGGCTGAATGGTTGGGACTCTCGCCGACCATGCATATGGTCCGGGGTTCGAGCCCACGCCGCCGCACATCTGATATCGATGGTCGGCCTGCAAAATTTGGGCTACCGATATCCATGCTGAAAATTCCATACTTGTACCAAAAATACAGTGTGGAATCAAGCTGTAAATCAAATATATATATATATATATATATATATATATATATATATATATATATATATATACCAGCCAGCTAGCTGACCTTGTAACCTGAATGCCCTGGGTTCGAATCCGTTGTGGTGGGTGTTGTTGGTGATGGTTCTCAAACTAAGCTGATGAAACAGCTGTCTGGCAGTACTTCCTGTGACTGGTTTTCAATGATTCTCTAACTGATATCAATTCATGACCAACTCTTAAAAACAAAGCTAACCCTTACAAATCAACCATAGAAAAATAAAGGTAAATCGTATTGTCCACTTTGGGTGTAGTATCTTCCTGGAGGAAAGTCAGTCAACGTGATGAAATAATGAAAACACTTCGTCTAAACTGAGGTATAATTTCAAAATTAATTCGACAAAAAATGATCGGTATGGTGGGAATCAAGTGAAGTGCAGCTTCATGTCTCAGTAAGTGTCTTCTAAGGTTATCCTTCCTCATATGAGCTTGTACCATAGTGTGTAATACTTGAGAAAGACACCTTCCATAGCTTCTTCCCAATGATCCGAAAGCAGAACCTAGTACGTACATTAAGTTCAAGGACTTAAAAAAATATGTTCCGTAGACACGATAGAGAAAGAATCATTTTCATTATGTGGAACCTCCTACTAGAGCACGGGTTTCCACCAAGATTCGTCGACAAAAAAATAGACGTGAGAGAAAAGCCTCCATCGTCGAAAATCACAAATGTTCCTAAGAAAACTGTCTTCATGAAACTGGAATTCAAAGTTGACACCAAGGCAAAATTAAATGCTCAAACTTCGAGCTCTTTTGTTCCACTCGGAACGCAGAGGAATGCGAAATAAACGACGAAACATTCAATTGAAGGAAAACAAAAGCATGAAGTTGAAGGTAAACTATTCATCTCAGTTTCGAGAGGGATGTTTTCAAAAGCACACAAGAGGAGTATCATAATCAATATTACAGATCATACAATTGATTATAATTTTTTTTCCCTGCAATCATCATTGCTAATGCCCAACTTTCATTTGAATGACTGACACACTTGTCATTACACTAGCTGCCCAGATTGTTCTCCTGTCTGTGTTTATCATAAGGAATTAGGAAGTACTGCAATCAACTACTCATCTATCCGCTGAACACTTGGATCTTTTATTTTAGCCGATAAAACACTCGGCTAGAGTAATATGGACGCCATTAGTTACAAAAAACATGCTACAACCCAGGGTTCCATTTCTTAATTCAGTCATCTCAGTCAGTTAAAACATAGACAGTAAGTAACCTGTCAACTCATGGTTCTTGCAAAAAACGATCATCAAATACTACACACAAACGCGCACGTACACACAGATACACAAATAGACAATAAAGGAAGTCATAAAATGCAGCAATAACACCAACACCAACGACAGTCCGTAGTAGTAGTAGTAGTAGTAACTCTGATAAAAACAGATGAATGTGTGCTGACGCCTCAGATTCAGTATGGAAAGTCATAAAAAACGCCTTCAAATGATTATGGCATGCATAGTGAATTTGTGAAATGGAAAAAGCCATCTATGCATTGATAGGCATTGAGTCCACACATTGGGACGGATAGATAAAACAAGACAGAAGGCAATATTGTGAAAACAAAATGCAAAAACAAAAAATTTATCCTGAAACACATGACGAACAAGGCGGCGGAAAAAGATTACTCCCTATCCGTAATAATAATAATATTAACAGCTTTATTCCAAACGGTATTTGTGGTACAGGTATGGAATTTTCAGCGTGCATTACAATATATATTGCATCTAATTAATCACCTCATAAATTTTATAAGATTTTTAAAATCAAGAGATAAATAAATAAATAAAAATAAAATAAATAATAAATAAATAAAAATAAAAAAACAGCGTAGAGTTTACATTTCAAACAATGCACTACAGGATATGAAATATAAAGTTGATGTGTGATAGAAGATGAGAACAACAGTGTAATAGTAACGAAGAAAGGAAAACAAAAACTAATGGGACTATTTGTTAGAGTGCCGCAGTAAGTTTATTGTGTCATACCTAACGGATTTCTCATCACATAACAGCTGTGCCAGATATGGTTTCGTGGAGTTTTTGTACTTAGTAGTCTTAGCATATAACCGCCTATAGCTTCTTCTAGTTCTACCAGATGAAATGCAAGGAGAGAGCTGCGTATAGAGAGGATGCTCGGGGTCTGACAATATACTATTCGCTAGTTTCTTACATGATATAATATGTCTACCTACAATAGTGTTAACCAGTTGGTTTAACGATATCCCACTTGCCCTCCCTACTAACGGCTTTTAGTGCCCTTCTCGGCGAAGCAAAGTCTTTCTTAAGTAGTCCAGGAAAGATTAATGAGGAGCAGTAAAGGGGGATGGATAGAATACAAGAATTTACAAACTGTAAACAGGAAGCCTCTCCATATACAACCCAGATTCAAGGGCGATCGATATACAAAGTGAGATAATTACAAAAAAATCAAGAAAATCAGTCCAAAGAACTTTAAATGCTGACGAACTGCACGTCTTATTCTCTACACGACCGATGGAGCTATCTCGACTGAAAGAAGAAGTACCAGACTAGCTAGCCACTTCTAATTATACCTACCAGTTCAACTCCAAATGTACTTGTGGTAGAGCGAGTTATATTGGCCGTTGTTGCTATAGGAACTTGAATTTACGTGCTCACTGGCTCGAGAACATCTCCCAATATGGCTAAGTAAAGGTGTTGAGAAAACCATTAACAAACAGTTCGATATTGGACCATCTGGTGCAAACCGACCGACCGGCCGACCGGCCAGCCACAAAGCCAGCCAGTTACCCAGCGTGGACGAATCTTTCTCTACAATCATATACGGGTGCCACATAAATTGCCAAAATCATCGAAGCACCGAATGCTCCAAACAGTAGAGGCTATTGCGATTCGCCTCAAACAATCAGTGCTCTGTGTTCAAAAGAAGCAAGTTCAGCTAGCTAGCCACTACTACTAACCTGGCTGGCTGGCTGGCTGGCCGGCCTTCAGTAGAGACTATACATTCATGAATTTGTAATATTATCTTTCCTAATTCAACTGACATTCAGTGTGTATTGTTATGTTGATGCTATTCAGCTGTAATCCACTGGTATTATTATTATTACTGATTCGATGTTATTTAAAGAGCGACATTAATGTTGTTGTCCATAACACTAATTCATACATTCACTATAATGGATGGATATATAACTGTAGAGCCTGATGATGATGATGAAGGGGTTATCGAAAAGAGTACGCTTTGTTCTTTGTTCAGTATCTATCCATTCTTTTGAAAACAATTTTAATGGGCATTTTTAATCCAATCCGTTCCAAATAAAATGCTTCTGCTTAATCTAGAATTCAAAGGTGATATTGAAGCAGAAATCCTTCGCAGACGCCTCTCAAAATCGACTGACGTTTTTCTGCAAGAAACTGTTCAGCCAGAACGCGAAAGACAAGCTGTCGCATTGGGCCACCTCAGCGTGCATATATCAGTTTACTTGCTCTTGTGGAGCTGAGTGCGTTGGCCGTACCATGCGCCGACTTGAAAAACGCGCTCGTGAACACTATCCAGCCTGGCTAGTAAAAGGAGAACGAAAACAGGTAAATAGTTCTGTGACAGAACATCTGGTTAATTCAGGACATTCAGCGCCACTCGAAAAATCCTTCAAAATCATGTACAAGATTCGATCAAACCTATCAAAGGGAGTAAAATCAAGATATCTGGGCATAGCCAAGGCGCTAGCTATACAAAAGCTCAAACCCACGCTTTGTATACAAAAGAAATACGTCCAACCCCTGTCCCTGCCATGGCTATCATAAACAGGTAATTTTTAGTAATCACCATCCCATCTCCTTTCTTATCTAAACTTCCTGTTTATTCATGTTATTTTAGGTTTTTCTGAATCCCTGTTTACACTACCATATTTTCATACCCGAACTTCGTGTTTATTTTGTCATTTTACTATTTCCACATATTTAATTCCTGATTGCATAAACGATTATTCATCACAGTAGTTTTTATCCAAACATCCTGTCCATTTTGTTATTTCTACATTTCTAACCCCTAATTGCACAATGTCAGTCTTCTTAGTTATTATGATGCTACTTTGTTTGTTTTATCCATCCCCCTGT